GCATGAACGGGGGAGGGGCAGAGAGAGAGGGAGACACAGAATCGGAAACAGGCTCCAGGCTCCGAGCCATCAGCCCAGAGCCTGACGCGGGGCTCGAACTCACGGACTGCGAGATGGTGACCTGGCTGAAGTCGGACGCTTAACCCGCTGCGCCACCCAGGCGCCCCAAGAAAGACTTTTTAGACGTACAGAAGCTGAAAGAGACCATCACCAGGAAACATCAACTATGGGAAATGTTAAAGGGCCTTCTTCCAACAGAAGGAAAGTGATACCAGATGGAAATTTGGAGGCACACAAAGAAATGAAGACTATTGGAGATGGTAAACATGGGTCAATATGAAAGGCTTTTTTTCCCCTTATTTAAAAAATTTTCTTAAAATATGTTTCATCACGTAAAGAAAAACACTAACCATGTTGTGGCGTTTATGGAAAATATATGACAGAACTAGTACAAGGCCTAGGAGGGGAGAAATAGAAACATAAGATCCTTTTTATTTTAAATTTTTTTATTAAAACATTTCTGCAATGTTTATTTTTGAGAGAGAGAGAGACAGAGACAGAGTGCGAGTGCGGGAGGGACAGAGAGGTGAGACATAGAATGTGAAGCAGGCTCCAGGCTCTGAGCTGTCAGCACAGAGCCCAATGCAGGGCTCGAACCCACGAATCCTGAGATCATGACCTGAGCGGAAGTTGGATGCTTAAGCAACTGAGCCACCTGGGTGGTCCTCTTTTTTTTTTAATGTTTGTTTATTTTTGAGAGAGAGGGCGTGCATACAAGCTGGGGAGGGGCAGAGAGAGAGAGAAACAGAATCCAAAGTAGGTTCTGCGCTGTCAGCACAGAGCCAGATACGGGGCTTGAACTCATGAACCGTGACTTCATAACCTGGGCCAAAGTCAGTTGCTCAACAGGCTGAACCACCCAGGTGCCCCTGGAAGCGTAAGATTCTTTCACTCTCTATAAAGTGTTACAGTGTCGCTTGGAGGTAGACTGATAAGTTAAAGCTGTTTACTGCAAATCTTAGAGCAACCACATGTTCGGGCACACACACACATTACCTGAGTTATAGATAATAGGCGAACAGAAGGGTTAAAGTGGAATCATAAAAATTGTCAGAGAGCCATTTGTCAAAAGAATGTAGAAGAAGAAATAACAGATGGACAAAACCAAACCCAAATAGCAAAGTGGTAGATTTCAATCCAATCATATCAGTAATCACATTAAATGTAAATGGTCTGAACTCCCTAATTAAAAGACAGACATAACAAGCAGTCCTAAATTATGTGTTACCAATAAGGCATGCACTTTATTTTATTTTATTTTTTTACTGTTTTTATTTACTTTTTAGAGAGAGAGAGTGGGAGAGGGGCAGAGAGAGAGAGAGAGAGGGAGACACAGAATCCGAAGCAGGCTCCAGGCGCTGAGCTGTCAACACACAGCCTGACGCGGGGCTCAAACCCACAAGCCGTGAGATCATGACCTGAGCTGAAGTCGGACGTTCAACTGACTGAGCCACCCAGGTGTCCCAGGGCATGCTCTTTAAATATAAAGATAAAAATCAGTTAAAGGTAAAAGGACAAATAAGTTATACCATGCTGATACTAATCAAAAGAAAACATATCAGATAAAGTAGAATTCAGAGTTAAGAATATTGCTGGGGATAAAGACTCTCATTTGATAATGGTAAGAAGATGATAACCGATTAAGATGACATAAGGATTCTAAATGTTTATGCACCTGACACGACAGAACTTCAAAAATGTATGAGGTCAAAGCTACAGAACTGCAAAGAAAAATAGGTGATTCTGCAATTATTGTGAGAAATTTCAGCACTGCTCCCTCAATAATTGATGGAACACAGAGAGAATCTGTAAGGATACAGAAAACTTGAACAACACTTATTGGACTAAATTGGCTACATTGACGTTTGTAGAACACTCCACCGGACAACAGAATACACATTCCTGTCTCGTGTACACAGAACGTATACCAAGAGACCATATTGCAAGCCATAAAACAAGTCATGATGAATGTAGAAGGATTAAACTCGTACAACGTAGGCTTTTTTTTGACTACGGTGGAATTAGATGAGAAATCAATAACAGAAGTATCTCTGGAAAATTCCAAAATATTTGGAAACCAAATAGCATACTTCTGAATAATCTACGTGCAAAAGTAGAGGTCAAAAGACGCAGTATTGTAAACTGAAAAAAAAAGAATGCACAACTTTGCAAAATTTATGGGAAGCCGGTAAAACAGTACTTAGAGGAATGTTTATAGGACTAGAAGTGCCTAAATTAGAGAAGAGATCTCAAACCAGTGATTTCAGCTTCTATGTTAAGAGACTAGAAAAAGAAAAATGAAAACCAAAGTAAGCAGAATAAAAAAATAAAGATTGCAGTAGAAAATAGAAAACCACAGTGAAAATAGCATCCAATGCTAATTCTTTTTTCTTCATGATTAAAAATGTATTTATTTATTTATTTATTTATTCATTTATAATTTACATCCAAGTTAGTTAGCATATAACATAGTACAATAGTATTTTCAGAAGTAGATTCCAGTGATTCATCTCCTATGTATAACACCCAGTGCTCATCCCAAAAGGTGTCTTCCTTGATGCCCCTTCACCATTTACCCCATCAGCCCCTCCAGCAACCCTCGGTTCTCCATATTTAAGAGTCTCTTATGTTTTGTCCCCTTCCCTGTTTTTATTATTTTTGCTTCCCTTCCCTTATGTTCATCTGTCTTGTATCTTAAAGTCCTCATACGAGTGAAGTCATATGATATTTGTCCTTCTCTGACTGACTTACTTCGCTTAGCATAATACCCTCTAGTTCCATCCATGTTGTTGCAAATGGCAAGATTTCATTCTTTTCGATTGCTGAGTAATACTCCATTGTATATATATACCATATCTTCTTTATCCATTCATCCATTGATGGACCTTTGGGTTCTTTCCATACTTTGGTTATTGTTGATAGTGCTGCTGTAAACATTGGGGTGCATGTGCCCCTTTGAAACAGCATACCTGTATCCCTTAGATAAATACCTACTAGTGCAATTGCTGAGTCATAGGGTAGTTCTATTTTTAACTTTTTGAGGAATTTCCATACGATTTTTCACAGTGGCTATACTAGTTTGCATTCCCACCAGCAGTGTAAAACAGAGCCTCTTTCTCCGCATCCTTGCCAACATTTGTTGTTGCCTGAGTTGTTCATGTTAGTCATTCTGATAGGTGTAAGGTGGTATTTCATTGTGGTTTTGATTTGTATTTTCCTGATGATGAGTGATGTTGAGCATTTTTTCATGTGTCTATTGGCCATCTGGATGTCTTCTTTGGAAAAGTGTCTATTTTGCCCATTTCTTCACTGGATTATTTGTTTTTTGAGTGTTGAGTTGGTAAGTTCTTTATAGATTTTGGATACTAACCGTTTATCCAATATGTCATTTGCAAATACCTTTTCCCATTACGTCGGTTGCCTTTTAGTTTTGTTGATTGTTTCCTTTGCTGTGCAGAAGGTTTTTATTTTGATGAGGTCCCAATAGTTCATTTTTGCTTTTAATTCCCTTGCCTTTGGAGACGTGTTGAGCAAGAAATTGCTGTGGCTGAGGTCGAAGAGGTTGTTGCCTGTTTTCTCCTCTAGGGTTTTGATGGTTTCCTGTCTCACGTTTAGGTCTTTCATCCATTGTGAGTTTATTTTTGTGTATGGTGTAAGAAAGTGGTTCAGTTTCATTCTTCTGCATGTTGCTGTCTAGTTCTCCCAGCACCATTTGCTAAAGAGACTTTTTTCCATTGGATACTCTTTCCTGCTTTGTCAAAGATTAGTTGGCCATCCATGTGTGGGTCCACTTCTGGGTTCTTTATTCTATTCCATTGATCTGAGTGTCTGTTTTTGTGCCAGTACCATGCTATCTTGATGATTACAGCTTTGTAGTAGAGACTAAAGTCTGGGATTGTGATGCCTCCCGCTTTGGTTTTTTTTTTTCAACATTACTTTGGCTAGTTGGGGTCTTTTGTGGTTCCATACAAATTTTAGGATTGTTACAAACATATATTCTTATTTTTCCCCCATTTTACTCAAAACGTGGCTTACTTGAAAAATAATGGTCAGCCTTATGCTTTCTTTACCTTTAACATATCTTGAATATCTTATATTGGTAGAGTGCTTTCTTGGCCTCTTTTGTTTTTTTGTACAGTTGAAAACTATGTCTCATTGTTTGGGCATATTATAATTTATTTGCAAAGCCCCCCCACCGGAGGACGTTTCTTTGGATTTTCCTAAGCATTTGCTATTGCAACCAGTGCTACAGTTAGTATCCTGGTATATGTGTCATATTGAACACGTGTGCAGAGTGTGCAAAGTGTATCTCTGTGATCAATTCTCCAAGTGGAATTGCTAGATCAAAGAGTATATGCATATGTAATTTTGATATATATCAGATTGCCCTCTGTAGGTATTGTAGCATCAGATGTTATTAATGAAAACTAATACTGGTATTTGAAATACTCCTTTAAAAAGAATATTTAGTTAGTTTTTTTTTTTTTTTGCATTCTTTGCTAAGTTAGAGTAGTTATATTGTAGGTTGTCTGAATTTTGGGAAGAGTAATAAGACTGTTCTAAATCATTGGTTTCCACTATTGGCCAAAGACCCTGAAGGGGTCATATGCTAAACTAACATCAACTGTATAGAAAATACTACCTCACACATGAATGCTATATATTTCAAATGTGCATAGATGCTGTTGTATTGAATAAAATGCCAGTGCATTTAAGAACGTTGCTGAATTCTTAGTTCAGCTAATAACGGCTCAACATCTTCTCAGTGGTTCCATTATTTTAGGTGACCTTTGGATTTTGGTGGCATGTTAGCTTCATTTTGTGTTCTATTGACCTTTTCAAAGTAGCTTAGTCTGGAGGTCTAGGAGAACAGAGCAAAAGACTATGCATATACTATGAGTGTCTATTTGAATATAATAAAAATAATATTTCTTTTATAGATATTCCTTTGAGGACCAGCCTGCCACCACCATTCAGAAATTATAAATACGGTAACTAATTTTTCGTATTCTTTAAAAGTGTATATTAATATAGTTTCACATTAGTTTTACATTGCTAGCAATTTGAATTTGGTTTTTATTTATTTTTTTTTAATTTTTTTTTAACATTTATTTATATTTGAGACAGAGAGAGACAGAGCATGAACAGGGGAGGGTCAGAGAAAGAGGGGGACACAGAATCTGAAGCAGGCTCCAGGCTCTGAGCTGTCAGCACACAGCCTGACGCGGGGTTCGAACCCATGGACCATGAGATCATGACCTGAACCGAAGTTGGACGCTTAACCTACTGAGCCACCCAGGCGCCCCTGAATTTGGTTTTTAAAAATTAGTTTACTATCTGTAAATAAAAACCAATATGAAAGTTTATTAGTTTATTTAGAAATCTAGGAATCCTGGTGTATCATTAAACTGTAATTGTGTATGAAAGTGGCCTATTTATGAGGAATAAATAGCATATTTGGCAAACCATGTCTAAAATGAATTTCTTGGGGCACCTGGGTGGCTTAGTCGGTTAAGCGTCCGGCTTCGGCTCAGGTCGTGATCTCGCGGTTTGTGAGATCGAGCCCCACATTGGGCTGTGTGCTGACAGCTCAGAGCCTGGAGCCTGCTTCGGATTCTGTGTCTCCCTCTCTCTCTGCCCTTCCTCCGCTCATGTTCTCTCTGTCTCTCAAAAATAAATAAACATTAAAAAAAAATTAAAAAAAAAATTAAATGAATTTCTTTGTAAGGTAACCCGAAAAAAAAAGTGATTAAAGGCTGGGAATTAAAAGAAGAGATTAAACATTAATTTAAATGCCAGTAACTTGAACATATCACATAGCAGTTTTGTATGTTGCAGTGTTGTTTAAAAATGTAGTAATGAGGCAGGAAGTTGGGTTTCATTATTTGGTAAAAAGATGGCATGGTTATTAACCTTCAGCAGAATGACACTCATCAAACTTTGAGTCTTGAGACTTCACTTGAAAATTATGACGCACCTAATAAATATTTCTGTTAATTGGTACAGACATTTTTTGAAGTATAAATTTTTTATTACCTTAGATCATTTTTTTTGGAGTGGCTTTTAATTCTGTTCCCATTTGGTAGAGCAACTTATGACCTAAAATACTTTGAAATCACAATCTTCACCGTGTGTATGCATTTTAATATCCAGAGACTAATTGTGAGGTCATAAGGGGTAGTCAAGCAGAAGTTGAAGGCGCTGAGTGGAAAGTACTTTGATTTATTGGGCTTAAAGAATTTACATACTAAATATTGAATAAGAGAAAGGAATAAAAAAGCATGGTTAAGTAAATATGAAGCTTCTCATTTCTGGCTTTCATGGCTTTCAGAGTATAATCACTTGCAATATAACCTTAAACTTGAATCAACCTACAAATGCCGTTTCCTTTTTTGCATGGTGCGTGCGTGCCTCTGTGTGTGTGTGTGTGTGTGTGTGTGTGTGTGCGTGCATATGCATACATACTCAAACTTGTGTTCCATGTAAGTTATTTTGAAAAATAACTTTTAGATACTGGCATTAGAATGTCTGACTGTTAATCATCATGGTGGTAGATCATGTGCCTTTTATATTTTTCCACCTTTTTAGCACTGCTTTGTTCTAGGATTTGTGTACTATATAGGTGAATTGGCAGAAGAAGTGAATACATTTATCTGTGAAATTAGAAATTAGAGAACTAGGGTTTTGGTAGACTTCCAGGGATTTAGTAACTCAGTCTGGGTTTGGCTTTGTAACAATCTGCTGCTTTGTGTTCACTAAGAACAGCCAAACATTACTTTCTCACCTGTCATTGTCCTTCGATATTGCTACATACTCTGTGGGAATAGAATCCATTGGGTGATGGGGAGTGGAAAGGGTGCAGAGTCAGATTTCCACTCTGTTGGTTGCGGTCTTTGTGCCCTTGGGCAAAGGGCTGGCTCACTCGACTTGAGAGTCTGAGATTTCTCATGGGCTCTTCTCCCATTTAATTGTCATCTACATCTATTATTGATTTATCCTGACCAGACTGTGTGTTCTAAAGCACATTGGATGCTGTCTTATTTTTAAATCCTTGTCACCTAGACACTGTGCATGTGTGTAATGAATATTGGTGGCTGTGCAGCATGGAGCTTCTAATACTGTTTGTTTCATGAGGCTGTGTGAGATTAAACAATGTTCGTGTGAACACGTCAAATACCTAACAAGTTTTTTATTTTTATTTTTATGAGGTTATGTTCCTCAAGGAATTTCCATTAAGGGTGCAATACCCATAGATGTTGTTTCTGTTAATAATGCAGATATTTTTGGGGGTGCCTGGGTGGCTCAGTCGTTTAAGCATTCAACTTCAGCTCAGGTCATGATCTCGTGGCTTGTGAGTTCGAGCCCCGCGTCGGGCTCTGGGCTGATGGCTCAGAGCCTGGAGCCTGTTTCCGATTCTGTGTCTTCCTCTCTCTCTGCCCCTCCCCCGTTCATGCTCTGTCTCTCTCTGTCCCAAAAATAAATAAACGTTGAAAAAAAAAATTAAAAAAAAAAAAGAAAAAAAAAGAAAATTTAAAAAAATAATGCAGGTTTTAAAATTTTTTTAATTTTTAATTTTTAAAAATTTTTTAATGTTTATTTTTGAGATAGAGACAGAGCATGAGTGGGGAAGGGGCAGAGAGTGAGGGAGACATAGAATCTGAAGCAGGCTCCAGGCTCTGAGCTGTCAGCACAGAGCGCGACGCAGGGTTCGAATTCATGGGCCGTAAGATCATGACCTGAGCCAAAGTCAGACGCTCAACCGACTGAGCCACCCAGGCGCCCCAATGCAGGTTTTTTAAAAAAAAGAAGTAAGAACAAGTGAAAAAAGATTGTTTAACAAGAAAGGGACATTATTATTAATATAGTATATTTTGCTAGCTTGTTGTTTCTTATCACATCTTACCCGTTTCTGTTGGAAAAATCTATAAATTTCTGTTCACGTTATTTCTTCTTCTGCTAAAAAACATATAGCCCTCTTATTATGGGTTTGCAGAACCCATTAGAACAAAGATATTTGTAATTTAAAGGCTCATTAGCAAAATATATAGAACATAATTAATATTTGGTAAGACCAAACTATAGTTTTGCATATTGATTGTAACAGGCTTTAAGTGGGATTCTTTTTTTTTTTAATTTTAATGTTTATTTATTTACTTTTGAGAGATAGAGAACACACATGTGTGCACATAAGCGGGGGAGGGGCAGAGAGAGGGAGGGAGAAAGAATCCGAAGCAGGCCCCAGGCTCCGAGCTGTAAGCACAGAGCCTGACCTGGGGCTCAAACCCACAAACCATGAGAACATGACCTAAGCCGAAGTCAGATGCTTAACCAACTGAACCCTAAGCAGGATCCTTTTACTTAAAAAACTGTTACTGGCTTTTCTAACTTGTCTCTAATAATAAACCAGTATCTGTGTATAGTGAGAAAAAGAGAAAAGGGAACTTGGAATAATAGGTAATCCAAAAGCTAATTTGTTTATTTTCTTGTGTACCTTATAAGCTTATTTTTAGCAGTTCTGGTATATTTACATTCCTAATACTCATTTTTCACTTAGATTTAGTTTTAGTTCTTAACAATACATAGAGTTTTAGGATTAGGCTGACCTTGTATTAAAAATTGCAATTGATAATTGAAAGCTGACTTTAAAATAATGGGTAACTCTGAGTGCTGGTTCTTAACTGGATAGCTACCCTATTCTTTTGTGTTATTAGAACAGAGTTAAATCAGGGCCTGTTTTTTTAAAGTAGATCCTTTTGTTTTACTATTGGAATTCCTTATGGAATCAAACGGCATGATTGATAGAAATAAATTTTAGTTTAAGCTTAAGAGTTTATCCAGATATAATAATACATGTAATCACAATACACTAATTAAATGGTGAAATAAAACCAAGTGAAGAATTGGAAACTTTGTGACTTTAAGCCTGTTGAATGCTGAGCCTATTTATAGTTAAGAGGTCATTGTTACAGAGTCAGAATTTGCCCAATGCGGAGAAATTACTTCTTGGAAAAGCACAGTGTGGCCTGACTTCAAGGTAAACAGATTAAAGAGTGAAGGAGGATTGAATAAAGCAGATTAGACGGTGTGAGCCTGTGCATCATTTGAAAACCAGGAGGCAAATACTGGTACTCTTTGGGCATTAGCAGCCTTGGCCAGATTACCAGGGTGATCCTTTGACCTCCTGCCACTTGTATGCATTCTGAGAGCCGGGTAGATTGTTTTGAACTGCTTATGTTAATGTCCGATCATTTTTTTACATTATTTGCTCGTTGTAGCATTCTGCAAGTCCCCCCAGGAACAAGACAGAGTGACATGATCCATCTGGCTTCTGTTCTAAGGGGAAGGTGTGCCAAGGTGACTGCAGGTTACGGCATATAGTTGTGTGTGCCAAAGGCCACGGCTTTCGGATATCTTTAAACACAGTGATCTTTAATGGCCTATAGTGGTGCTTTTTCTTCTACCGCACTACATTTTTAAGTGAACTGGTCGTAAGGCAAGGACGTAAGTTTCTCAGTTCTGTAGCTGTATCTTTCCATTGCAAATTGTTAAAATGAAGTTTTAAAATAATCTTTGTAAAAATACTTCTTTCTTTCTTTCAGATAAACTAAAGATTGTTCATCAAGCACATAAATCAAAGGTACGTTTCATATGTACGGCATCTGGCACGTAGAAAGTAATCGCTGTCGGCTGTCTCAGTGAATAAGGGAACAAACACATGCACTCCTAAAATATTTTCCATTATAGTAGCATTTTTTTATTTCATAAGTACCCTTCCTACAGCCTTACTTTTCCATTAAGGGAAAAAAAAAAAAAAACCTCACCAAGTCATATCCCTGTGAGTAGTAGATCTTGTTAAAAAGTGTTAATTTTTAAAAAAGCATACATGGGGGCGGCTGGGTGGTTCATTTGGTTAGGCGCCCGACTTCGGCTCAGGTCACGATCTCACGGTCCGTGAGTTCGAGTCCCGTGTCGGGCTCTGTGCTGACAGCTCAGAGCCTGGAGCCTGTTTCGGATTCTGTGTCTCCCTCTCTCTGCCCCTCCCCCGTTCATGCTCTGTCTCTGTCTCAAAAATAAATAAACGTTAAAAGAAAAATTTATAAAAAAGCATACATGTTATTTTTTTTTAAATATTTATTTATTTATGTAAAGAGCGAGTGCGTGAGCCAGCATGAGCAGGGGAGGGGCAGAGAGAGAGGAAGAGAGAGAGAATCCCAAGCGGGGCTCAAACTCATGAACCGTGAGATCACGGCCTGAGCCAAAATCAAGAGTCAGGTGCTTACCTGAGCCACCCAGGCATCCCAAAGAATACATGTTCTATATCAAGCGAATATTTAAAATAAAATAAACATAAGCATAAAACTTGGTAAAGTAAATTTAGGTTACAAAAAAAAAAAAAAAAAGAGGAAACCACTTGTTATCTGGCAGTTCAATATCTTTGATTTTCTTAATTGTGTACCAGAAGAAAAGAGCCAAAAGCAGGTAAAAATAATTTGCTTTTTCTGACCTATCTCTTTCTGTGTGTAAGAGAAGGTCCAGGACTCTGGCTCTTGGGAACATGCCTTCAAGTTGCACACAGGGCATGGCCTGCAGTCTTAATGGTATCTTACCTGCTTGGAGAAAGCTGTTTATTTATCATGTGTTTACATGTCTGTTTTCTTACTTTTTTAGAGTAATGTATTTATAAAGCCACCATCAAAGATTTGCTTCTCATACAGGCTAAAGCGATCTTTTTTCTTGAATGTCAATGACTTTGTATCGACTCCTCATTAAAGCTGTAACCTTAGTCTATTATACAAACTAGTCAGGGATGAGGGACCATAATCTGTTCTTCATATCTCCAATATCTAGCACAATGCCTCATTCATAAGAGTGTTTTTATAACAATTTAAAAAAATTTGTTATGTTTATTTATTTTTGAGAGTGAGACAGACAGAGGGTAAACTGGAGAGAGACAGAGAAAGAGGGAGACACAGAATCCAAAGCAGTCTCCAGGCTCTGAGCTGTCAGCCCAGAGCCTGATGAGGGGCTCGAACTCACAGACCACAAGATCATGACCTGAGCCGAAGTCAGATGCTTCACCGACTGAGCCACCCAGGCACACCATTGATTTTTGAATTAAGTATTTATTTTTGAATTCACCTAATTTCATTGTCTTCTCTAGTCATAGATGCCTGCCATAAACTCAGCCTTCAAATAAATGTATACCAGACATTACAAAGAAAATGGCATCAGGGTATGGCTATCAATTGTGAATTAGTACCTTCGAAAAACATTTGTTTTTTCTTGTAGCTTAAAATAACACACATTTATTCTCTTCTAGTTTTAGAGGCCAGAAGACCAAAATTAGTTTCACTGGGCTAAAATCAAGGTGCTGGTGGGACTAGTTCTTTCCAGTAATTTTACTTTTTTATACCACGGATTATATGTACCAATTTGACGTTACCCCTTGTCAGATGCTTTAAAATTCAGTGCCACATGTGTCCGGGCTGCGGTGTGGAATCTGCACTTTGTGTGAGTGCTAGAATGTCCCTCCACTATGGCCACCGACTTCATTCTTTTTCTGGGACAGGAGGGTTTACAACCTTGTCTCTAAAATGTGGAGAATAGGAAGTTTGGGCTTGTTGTAGAGGGAGAAAAATATATACGTATACATATATGTGCGTGTGTGTATATACATACATACATATGTACACGTATACATATGTGTGTATACATATGTATACATACATATATGTGCATGTATACATACATATGTATACATACATACATGCACATATATATATATAATAAAGTTATAAGGAAACAATATGCTCTTTGAAAAGGTTGTGAAATAGAGTGATGTCATTCTCCATTCAGTGTTGCATTTTTACATTGTTGGACTTGTCCATATGATCGTACGATTAGGTACAAAGACCTGATTCATAATATTCAAATACTCAATATCATGACATTTAAAAAAAAATCGGGAAATTTTCCTCTTGTAGTTGGAAATCTATTAGAATTGTTTCTTATGTTAAAAACGGTTTTTAAGTTTATTTATTTTGAGAGAGAGAGAGTGGAGCAGGGGCAGAGAGAGAGAGGGAGAGAGAGAATCCTGGGCAGGCTCCATGCTGCCAGTGCAGAACCCACCATGGGACTTGAACTCATGAACTGTGAGATCATGACCTGAGCCGAAACCAAGAGTCTGATGCTTAACCAACTGAGCCACCCAGGAGCCCGTTTCTTATATTTAAAACACATGTTCCAACCTGGCATGTTAGAGTTATACAATTAGAGCTTATCTTTCCAGTTGAACAATGTCTTTATTTAAAGAAATAAAGTTGCGTTAGAATGTTTCTGGAATCTGGCTTTATACATTTTCATCTAAGCCATAACCATTCTAGTTAAGTACAGACTGTACACCCCAGGGATGGTTCTTCCACGTTTCCTCTTCAGCTTTTTATAAGGAAAAGGGTTAATATATTTTTACAGATACAGATTTAAAACTTAAGAAAAACTTTACCCCAAAGCCCTCATTTGTGCTTTATCCAGCTTCCAGTCATTTTTCTCATCTCCCCATCTGCATTCTGTTTTCCGTTTTCTGTTCCTCGTCTGTGGGGCTTGTAAAGCAACCCTGGACCAGCGACCAGCCCATCAGTTTTCCAACAACCCAGCAACCCAGCTGTAGTTTCAGTCTCCTTCCTCAGCCAGAGGGGAAGAGACTTCCAACTGTCTTAATGACCTTGATCACAAAGGCATTTCCCCCATTTCCTCAATTTTCTACTTTTAGAGACTTCTTAATTACCAGGTATCTACAGAAATTTCTTCCCACTATTCCAATGAAACCATCTGGATACCTTCCTGTGAGAGCCTCCTGTTTGGAGGAGTCTACTGTTTGGAGCTCACAAGCTCAATTTTTTGTTTTTTGTTTTTCCCAATGTTTATTTATTTTTGAGAGAGAGAGAGACAGAGCACGAGCAGGGGAGGGGCAGAGAGAGAGAAGGGGGCGGGGGGGGGGGGAGACACAGAATCCGAAGCAGGCTCCAGACTCTGAGCTGTCAGCACAGAGCCCAACACAGGGCTTGAACCCATGAACTGCGAGATCATGATCTGAGCTGAAGTCAGATGCTCAACTGACTGAGCCACCCAGGTGCCCCCTGAGCTCAGTTTTTGTTGAATGAATGAGTCAATCGATAGTACAGTGTAAATAATTACCGTAATATGATTTATGGTTATCAAGAAAATGTACCTGTGTGTGTATTATGGGGCTGTTTGTAAAGTCACAATAATTCCTATTAAAGAGTTTTAAAATGAAAACTCTAGGGGTGCCTGGGTGGCTCAGTCAGTTGGGCGTCCATCTTCGGCTCAGGTTATGATCTCGAGGTTCTTGGGTTTGGGCCCCACATCGGGCTCCGTGCTGACAGCTCAGAGCCTGGAGTCTGCTTTGGATTCTGTGTCTCCCTCTCTCTCTGTCCCTCCCCTACTTGTGCTCAAATAAATTAAAAAATAAATAAACATAAAAAAATTTTTTTTAAATAAAAACTCTAATTTCTCCTATTTTGTGAGTTTGGAAACCAGGTAACTACTCTTGTTAAAAGTTTATGAGAGGAAGAAGTCATACCCTGCAAGACATTTTTTAAGAAATGTGCAAGATCTTTAAGAAGAAAACTTCAAAATGCTAGTGAGGGTTATTCAGTTGTCCAGGTCCGTTGAACTGAACTCCCCTTAAGATCTTTGCATTTTATTTATGTGAAATTCTACCTCAATTTAACAACAACAAAAAATAGACACACCGAAAGGATCCAACATAAGACTTAAATGGAAATGCTTAGGGTATTTGGATAGGAAGGTGCACCAGCTTGAAGATGTCTGTTTTCTCTTAGTTAACTTATGAATTTAATGTCACCCCAATAAAATACAGCAGCAGTTGTGTATATATATGAATTAAAGAAGCTGATTATAATACTAATATGCAAAAAGTAAGAACAGTCAGGAAAAAGAAGAGAAAGGAGAGTGGCCAGCCCTGACATGTATCGGCCATATGATTAAACTAAAGTAAATAAAACAGCATAGTACATGAACTGTTAGGTGAATGGCACAGAATTAAAAGTACAGAAAGAGACCCAAATATATATGGGAATTTAGTGTATAGGAAATCTAAAGCTGTAGAGAAAATATGGAGGATTCTGTAAGTGTTACTGGGACAACTGGGGAGACGTCCAGAAAACAGCTAAATTGAATCCGTATTCTTTTCTTCATGCCAAAATAAATATCCATCGGGTTAATGACTTGTGTGACAGTAGAGCCCACAGGTAAGAATGTAGATGAAACAGTTTGAACATGGGTAGATCATTTGTTCATGCCGGGTGATGGGTACGTGGAGGGTTCAGTATGCTGCTCGGTATACAGTGTATGTTTGAGATTCTCCATAATTAAAAGCTTAGAAGAAATGAAATTGATGAACATGTTTGAAGAAAACGTGAAATTTTAGAAGGAATTTTGGAATTAAGGCCGTTCTAAGTAAGATGTAGAAAACCCAGAAACTGTAAGAAAAATTGCTAAGTTTACTTCATGTATTTATTCAACAGGCATTCAGCACTTTTACTAGAAAAAAAAAACATTATAAGAAAAAAATCAAGGAAGGAATGAACACTGGGG